ATAAAAACAGAAATTTCAGATGATTAAAATTAAGGACTTTTAAGGACTAAAAATTGATTCCAAAAAATTTAAGGACAGGACTCTTAAGGACTGTACAAACCCTGGAATGGTCAAAACAGGTATTTCTGTTGAAATATGACACACGAATTTTTTTTATTACAATATTTTCTTTACTTCATACATGGTAGCAAAAATCATAAAATAATATTGATCCTGAACTGCTGAAGGGAGGGACATCGCGAAAAGCACTGTAGAACACTCGGGCACTATAACCAACCTTGGGTAACCCAACAGCTTAATATAGAATGAAAACAAGAGATTATTGCTTTTATAATTCTTATTCATTGTCAAGTTTGCATATTTTAATCAACGTCGACACTTTTTACATATACAAAGGAAGAAATTTTCCTTACATTAATATAGTGAAGAAATTTACTACCAGATATTATAAATAATTATTTTGTTCTCCAACAGTTTTAAGCAATAAAAATAAAATCAATTATATTTGTCTTTCATCTGTCCAAGTTCCCATTAACGAAAATCTCTGCCCCCCCCTTCTTTGCCTTTATTTTAGAAAACATATGTTGCAAACAAACTGTAAATATCGGCTTATTTCTTATTTTTAATATAAAAGCTTTTTGCAAAGGTGAATGAAGAAGAATATACCTGACAACCACTTCAAGAATATGAGAGATGATATATAGTGGCTCCCAAAAGTGTTCGTACACTTATGAATTTCATTGAAATAGGACTCTATCCATTAATTAAAAGTAAACTTTCTGCATGAGATTTTAATATAAGATTAAATCTATTCGTAATAAAATTACATGAAATATTTTTAATATAGCAAACCTTATTTTAAAAATTAATAAAAAAAATGACAAACTTTTATCTCACAAGTCTTGTACTAAAATTTTAGATAAATTAGAATTATTTTGCCTCTTTTTCATTTTGATGATGGTATTTAAAAATATTGCTTAATTTTTATTGTTTATTCAAATTCTATTATTATGAAAAAATGGGTAGGCATCGTAAAAAAAAAATTACAAACAGATCAAAATTGACAATTTTCCCATTATGGTAATCATTGAAATATGATAATTAGTTAATTTATCCATTCTCAGTGCTATATGATTAAAGCTTTAAAGAAGAAAATCGGATTGAAAACAAGGTAAGAAAAGGTCGACCAAGAAAGATAACTAAACGTGATGAGAGATTTATTATTAGAACATTTTTGAAATACCCACATTTGAGTGCTGTAAAAGTTTCTTCAGAATTTCATGCAAAGTTTTCTACTTCAGTTTCGCCTGAAACTGTTCGACGTGTTCTCAGAGAAGCTGGATTACATAAGCATTCTGCCCATAAAAAATTTTTTGTTAGTGAGAAAAACAGAAAGCTTACGCTTTCATTCGCAAAATTCATGATAAATACACCCGAAACGTACTGGAACAATATCCTATTTGCTGACGAAAGCAATTTAACATTTTTGGTTCCGATGGTCGAATAACTGTATGGAGAAGAAAAAGAGGGACTTGTTTAAGACTAGTTGGAACAGTTTTAAGCATGGGGGGAGGGTGTTCTTGTGTGGGGTGCAGGCAATCAGACTGGTGATTGGTATTATTGATGGCATATTAATATTATTTTTTAAATTTTAGAGACATTTAAATTCAGCCCAAATTTGGGTATTGGAAAACATTTATTTTTAATCATGATAACGATCCTAAGCATTCGGCTCTCAAGTTACCTGTGGTATTTTATAATGTTTGAACCCAAAGCTATTCGCCAGATTTAAAACCCATAGAAAACATTGGACAGACGGAGGTTAGAGTAGAAAACGGACCTCAAAATGAAAGCGAAATAAAACAGGCCTGATGAAGAATGGATGTACATTAATACAGAAATCAAAAAAAAAAAAAAAAAAAAAAAAAAAAACTAGTGAATCTATTCAAGGACTTTTTAAAAGTGTTTGTGGATGCTAAAGGAATTCACTAAATATATTTAACGAAAAATGAAATATTATAATATGTAAGATTTTTTTGAAATTACGAAGACTTGGATATGAGATAAAAGTTTGTCATGTTTTATTAGAATTCTTAAATAAAGTTTCGATATATTTTAAACATATTTCATGAAATTTTGAATTTTGTTATGAATACATTACAGATCTTATTATAAAAATCTCATTCAGAAAGTTTACTTTTATATAATGGATATTTCAATGAAAATCAAGTGTACGAACACTTTTGGGAGCCATTTATACTTGTAAATCTCATTATATAACTTAACAGGGTTTATTAATAATAATGGGGGTAAAAGTTTACAATTGGGTGCCCCCTGTTTATTGGCGATTTTTTTTTTCACAAACCAAAATAACACTTAAAGATTGCACAAACTCGTGTCCAGTACAATTGATCTTTTTTACTTAAAAAAAATCCCAATGCACAAACTAGCATTGCACACTGCCTTAAATTGCAAGCAACATCAATTTATTTCATTAAAAATAGGAAGCTAAACAAAGTTAACTATATAGTAACCACTGTAGTTTATTAAATGAGGTTCATACCAAAATTAAAAAAAAAAAAAATTGTCGCTAATCGAAGGGGCACCCAATTTTACACTAGAGCGAATAATAGGTATATATGCAGCGATTCTCAACCTTTTGATTAATGCCTACTACCTACAGAAAAATTGAAAATCTTTAGTACCACCACCACTCTTGAACAAAGCTTAGATTCGCATAAACTTACAAGTGTTAGGAAAAAAACTCAATCAGGATGTTGGGGTTTTAATTTTTGAATTTAATAGTTAAGAATACTTTGCTTCTTTGCGTACCACCGGTTGAGAACCCCTGGTATATAGGATATAAAAATGATAAACCAAAATATCCTTACCATAACCAGATTTTCAGTCTTTTAAAAAAATACGAGATACTATTGTAAACAGCACATCAAATTTAAAAGGCCTAATTATACAAAGAAATGTCAGTCAAGCGCACAATTTCTAATTCTCGTATACACGTAACAACAGAATATTAACACTTTAATATGCTCTTTTAACTCGTGCTGAGCTAAATGACGCAACATCGACAGACAGACAAAGTAGACAGATGTCCTGTTTTGCACCCGCTAAGTCTTTCTGCACGGTGTTCCAAAAAATAAACAAACACAATGGTTACAATTTAGAAATTCCTCAAAAATATATAAATAAATAAACTTTACGGAAAAAAAAAATTGCGAACTTCATATCACAGTCAGGCAACTCTGCGAATTTAAGAACTATTTACTTCTATCAGTTTAAGAACTAATTTTCCAATAATTAAAGTTATGGAATGTAAAATATTATATTTAAGATGAGCTACTCAAAAAGACCAAGTCGAGTGCTAGGGAAAAATTTTGCAACACACGTACACAAATTAACGCAATGTACATATCTGTACAGATTTAATATAAAATGAAACCTTCTGTAAGGGCATTTATTTCAGTGGATCAGCCGCTCTGGAAAACTGGAATAATTATTTCTTTTTTTTTTTTTTGTGGGATACGAATTTCATTTACTGAAAACAATAAACAGCTCTTCAAGGTATTTTTAAAAAAAAATAGTTTATGTGATATTTAACTGTAGAAATAAATTAAAGAAATGCACTTCTACTATATGACGGTTATGGAAATTTAACCTCACGGAAAAAGTCGTCTGCTGGATAATTGCAAAGATTTTACAACTAAATGATGTCTAAAGTTACGGTAAGAATTTTTGCAGTTTCTATGTATAGTTTGGACCTTAGCCAACTTAAATCTCTGTATTTAAAACATATAATAATTAGTTATTCATTAATTTAGTTTATTCATATCAAGAAATGTTAACTTGGAATACGAAGAAGCATCATTCTTTGAATTTGATTGAAATATGAATTAAATTGAAAACTGGAAGGTAAACCCTGTAAATGAGAAATATTAGAAAAATCAACTTTAAACAGAAAGAGGAAAATAGAATAAATCTTTGTTTTATGATATATATAATTTTCTAGAAAATGTATTGGCATATCACAACTGACATCCCCAAGCGACGATATTGCTCAGTCCATTAGTTGCCAGGTGGTTAAAGCAAGAGAACATTTTCACATGTTCCTCGATGTAGACTATGAATACTCTGTCAGTTTCTTAAGAAATCCTTCATGATGGATCCTTAAAGCAATAGTCTGCTTCATGCTAACAGGTACTTTTAAAACAATGTTCTGTATTTTTTGTCTTAACAAAAGACGTATCTCTGTAGTTTTTCACACTATTAAAATTTATAAACCTTTGTTGATGTATCTACCATCTAAATTATCAAAGTACTTTTTAATAATCAATAATTTTGTATTAAAAGTTAAAAATTTTGGTACTTGTCTAATTATTATTTCCTAAAGTCGCCGAATCATTGACGGCATCATGAATTTTCGAAAAAACGTTTCTTTTGCTTCCCCCCCTTTCTTCTTACGTACAATGGTACACTTTTGTTTCTGGATACCTGTATTTTTTAAATTTATTTGCATAGATCTTGTACTAAGTAGTGAAACATAGTATTTATAGTTTCTTTTGGTAGACAATTTTGTTCATATTTCTTTTATTTTATTTTAAAGGAAAATACATCACATAAATTGATGTCTGAATTTGGAAATTATTACTTGTTTAGCGAAATATATTAATAGTTCCACATCTGAAATGACACATGGCAGAATACTACAAACTAACAACAAATTCTCTTAGACATTTAATTATTCATCTTTTTAAGAATAGCATAAGTATTTGAAATATCTGAAAAATGCTTTATGTAAAGCATTCAACCATATTTGATGTTATAAGATGATGGATATTGTGTAGAACTGTTGAAAGTGCTTTGAGGTCTGAGCCACATTTTTAGCTAACACCAAGGAATTGAAGATTTATTGTAAAAAAAAAAAAATCAAAAAGGACCCAAAATTGGTGCAATAAAACTTTTAGCAAATTTAAATGACCACTTTATGATAAAAATTAACCCAGATGCTGTTAGAAGGGTTATTAGTGCATATGGATACAATGTGCGATCAGCAAGAAGAAATTGTTTATCAACAAGAAAATGAGGAAAATATTCTGAGCATTTACAAATTCCATAGTAAGCCAAAAAATTTATCCTCTTATGTGGTGAAAATCAAAGAATTTAATCCAGAAAAGCTCTTATTGCCTACAAGGGCTCGTGTGTAATGGTTTGGGGATGTTTCACTGTCTGTGGATGCTGGGAGGAGAGAAAATTTAGTGCTTATAGAAAACAATATGCATCAGTGTAAGTATATAAATGTTCTTAATAAAACCTGAAAGCAGTGGCAAGAAAACATAGAATCTTCAAATTCTGTCAGTCCTAAACATGCAGCTATAAGTGTTCGTCATCATCATCAACATTGGCACAACAGTCCTTTCTAAACCCTGGCCTTTTTCAGAAGCCTTTCCTATTCCACCTTTCTTCCCACAATTCACCTCCAATTTTTAATTTTTAGAATGTCAAAATCCTCATTCAGGCAGTCCCTCCATCTTTTCTGAAGTCTTCCGCTTGATATTCCACAAACAGGGGACTTTAAGGACCATTTTTCTCTGCATTCATTCTTAGAAGGTGATCTGCCCATCTCATTCTACTTAATTTTATGGATTTAATAACATCTTCATCTTTGTCAATTTTGTAGAGTTCAAAGTTATACCATTTACATTACCGTATTTGACGGCATATAAGACGCACTTTTTTTCCTAAATTTGGTCTCAAAAAAGGTACCTGGTCTTATACGTGAAGGTAATTGCATTCAATAATTGTTTATTTGGCTTTTACAAAACGTGAGAACTAAAAGAAACCACGCTATTGAAACTTTTTTCCTTGTGTGTGGCCGTCTAAATAAGGGCACATCTTATATGCCGTTAAGTACGGTATATATTATTCTCTAAAACAGCATCGGAAATAGTTCTTAGAATCTTCCTTTCAAAAGATTGCCAAGCCTCTTTCTTCCCTCATAGTCAGAGTCCATATCTCTAAAGCATAGCTGAAGACTGATTTTTATTAATACCTAGTATAATAGAATATTTGACCTTTATTAGATGGGATTTCAGAAATGGTTTTGGTTAATCTTTGGATTATGGTAACTTGGCAGTTTTTGGTAAAAATTTGGCAACCAACCCTGCTACAGCAACCTTCTACTTTTTTTTCGGCGCCATTTTGTCTTCACGAAGTAAGACAGTTTTTTTTTTTATTATTTACTCAACATTTTTTCCAACAATCTGCTAGCCGAATTACGCTTATGCTAGAAATTTTATGGAACAAAAGTGCTTAATCATGATGAATATTAAACGCAGAATTGGAAGAAAGTGCAAATCGCAAACTCCTTGCCGCGTTTTCAGAAGGGCACATACACGGTAACCATGTACATGTCGACCGATTTTGTACTTAAAAAAACATCCCAGAATTGCACAAAAATGGCATTGCGCACACTCTTGACTTTATCCATGTCACTGCTTTTTTCTCATAAATTAGAAAAATTTCACGAAAATGCAGGAAATTTTGTGAATCTTTAAAGTCAGTAAAAGACATATATGAAATTACCACCTGATTGTGAAAAAGTATATACCCTTTCCAAGGATGAACATTTCACATATAAAATAAATAAAAATATCCAAAACTTTTCCTCTAAATTATCTATTATACACGTCATCTGCGAATTTATACGCAAACATTAAAAAAGGTTGCAAATACTTAGTGTCAAATATTTAATTATTTTCATGGCACGTTTACTTCTACTGAAACGTATACCAAAATGCTACAAACATAAATTCACAAAATAACTATCATTTAATTAAAATATAATTAAATTAAAAAACACTACTTAAAATAAATAAACACATACATTAATTAAACTTAAATCTTAATTACTTTAAACTAATTCAGGCTAATAAAAATTTTCCAGTGATAGCATATTAATTTATTTTTCCTTATATTAGAACAATGCATAAAAATAATCCTCAAATGATTAAAAATACTAACTTACCTAATCTTCTACAGAATCTTGAGTGCATGGCGGATCACAAAATGTCCATTTTCATTTCACCAGATTTCTTGCACCGCCATTCAACTTATCTGTAATATCCTTCCTTTCACACAATCTCATTTCATTCCCACATGTTGGACATTCATACTTGTCTGCAATTAATCATACACTCATACACCATTCAAGCAATTCTTTTGGATTATCAGATAAACGCAATAAAAATTTCGAAGTCACTTTAGATAGGGCCATGGGATCCAAAAATTAAGCAACACTGTTTCACACAACACACACTGAAGCTAAATACAAAATGCTATAAATTACTGCAGATATTTTTCCAAATTTCCCCCCTTTTCCAATTAAGGAACTGTGATTCGTCCATAAATGTCACATGACATATCTCATGATCTCTCATTTCTCTCACACAAAATAATGCGTAATTGGAACTGGGTACTTCTCACATTATTGCCAAAGTCCTAGGTAGTAACCTTTATCACCTACCAAAATGTCGCCAAACTGCCTGTTACCATATTCCAAAGATTAGTCATGGTGGTTTTAAACCAAACAAGCAACAATTTGCAGCAATAATCCTTTTTCTTATTTTAGGATTAATATCATTTTGATAGTTAATTTTGGATCCCAAATAGGTGAAGTTTTTCACAGATTCAAGTTTACATGAGCCAGTCTGAAATATTTTAGGTGGATTTTCCTTTTACCACAGTACATATATTTAGTTTCTTCCACATTTACTCGAAACATCATTTTCCTGGTTGAATTCTGTAGTGTCATAAAGGTCTCTCCCAGCACAGCTGTAGATCTTGCAATCATATCTACATCATCAGCATTAGCTAGAATATGGTCTGATTTATTAAATGTAGTACCTCTTGTATTAATACCAGTATCTCTTATAACTTTCTCCAGAGATAAATTAAAAAAGAGGCATGCCAATGCATCCCTATGGCCAGGGCTTAATTTCTAAGATTAGAAGTGCCGGAGCCCTATGGAAGACGTCAGCAAAGAGGAAAAAGAGTAAATAAATAAATAAAATGACTATTGAACTCATTAATAATTTTAAATTTAAATAGTTTATCATTATCAAATTAATAATAGCTATTTAATTAATGTTTTATAAATTTTATTTAATCAATAATTATTATATAATTAATTATAATTTAATTGATAAATATTAGATAATTAATTATTATTTATTGAAATAATTAAAGATTGAATTAAAATTAAATAAAATGTAAAGACATACATTGAAATTTAATAAACGATTTTTAATTTTACTGTTAAAATAAAATTTTCGAGATAAAATTTCTATTGAAATTGTTATTCAATTACATAAAAGAAGTGCCGCAGCCTTCTTATTCAGGGCTCCGGTGCATTCCGGCTAGAATTATGATTTATTACAAAAACTAAGAAGCACCGGAGCCTAGATCTGGTGAGCTCCGGCCCAATTTAAGCTCTGATCGTAGGGGGGAGAGTTCTTTTATCATCAAAAAAATTAAATATGCTCAAAGTATAGCTGTTGAAAATTCCAGGGCGAAACAGAATGAGGGTATGAGTGGGTGGAAACAAAAAACGGAAAGAATCTTGGTGAGAGAGGATGTTCTCTTTGACCTCGGCTTTCTGCTGAAATTATAGCCATCAAGCAGATGTGTGTCTGGGGTAAAATGAGTCCTGAATCTGACTCCTAAAGGATGACTGTAAAGTTGCTGGTTACGCTTTCCCATCCATTAGTGGATACTGTTGGAAGATGATGTATAGGACGTACTTGAGCAGTTTATCTCAGTATTTCACTGTTGTTGTACTTGCTGTCCCTTAACGCAATTTAAGAACACAAATTTTCCTTCCTGCGGAGATAACTAACTGTAAGCATCAATAACAATACACTAGATACGATGGCATGGCGAGAAATTGACGCGTTCCTAAATAAACTCCCCCAAATTTATTGCCCTTCTTAAAGGGAAAGGTTTCCTCATGTGAGTGAGGGAACTTTAATTGAACGTCTCATGTTCTCATAAGTTCGTATTTCTCGGGAAATAGAGTATTGCAAAGCCTGCTTATTGTTAAACTAAAACATTAGGAATTCTAGTTTTTTTTTTTTTTTCCCCTTTAAATTGTGGTTCAGTTTTATAAAAAAAAAGTACCGGAGCTCATCTTATTTAGGGCT